GGATGGGATCCAGAAAAGGGGTCTCCTGGAGCGGGGCTGGCTGGTGCTGGGAAGCAGCCACCAGGGTTGGGGCCGGCTTGCTTCAGACAGCATTCTGGGTGTGGAGCCAGGGACCGTTTTATAATTTGGAAAGCCTGGAGTGGCCTTGCCCGCAAACCGGGGAAGGAGTTGCAGTGGCCAATTTCCTTTTAAAGGGACCCCATGTCAGGTTCCACGTTAATTGGTGGGGGTTGTAATTTGATTTGTTTTTATTAAACCTGCTGCCAGCATATTGTAGGGGAACCAAAAACCACGCACCCGACTCCCCCGTTTTCACCTGGAATTTGTTGGGAGACCGGGCAGGCCTACTGTTGGCTACCGGTTGCTGGAGCGGTTTGGCCGCAGTGCAGCTTTTTGGCATTGGCCAAGGCCGGGGCGTCGAGGTGTTTTTTGCAGCTCGTTGGTCCCAAAGCTACTTTGGTACCTGTTTGGTGGTTTGAATTGGTGGGAACTGGGGAATTGAAGGTCCTTTTTTCCCAAAAACCCCTTTGGGGTTGGGTTCTCGTTTAACCGCGAGGGAGCGAGGATTGGCACGGGTTCGGCCTGAAGTGTACCATGTTTGCAGCATGCCGTGTAAACGCCAGGCTCCAGGAAAGCAGCGAGAATGAGCTGGGGTCATCCGTGTGCCGGTGGGATTTGGCTTGGGGGAGGCGGCAAGGATGGAGGTGACGGCGGCGTGTGCCGGTGGGATCTGCTTCTGCGGATGCAACCAGCGCCGAGGCGCTGGAGGCCGCGTGCCGGTGGGGGTCCACAGAGGCGCAGCGATAACGAGGCGCGGTCGCCCGAGTGCAGGTGGGATTTGGTTCCAGGAAAGCACGAGAACGAGCTGGGGTCACCCGTGTGCCGGTGGGATTTGGCTTGGCGGAGGCGGCAAGGATGGAGGTGACGGCGGCGTGTGCCAGTGGGATTTGCTTCTGCGGATGCAACCAGCGCCGAGGTGACGGGAGATGCTAGGCGTGCCGGTGGGATTTGGTCCACAGAGGCGCAGCGTTAACGAGGCGCGGTCGTTCGTGTGCCGGTGGGATTTGGTCCACAGAGGCGCAGCGAGAACGAGGCGCAGTCGCTTGGTTATCAGACAGCTGCAATGATGTCGGGCCTTTGTTTTCACCCGTGTGATTTTTCCCAACGCTGGCAAGATTGGGCATGCCTGTTCGCGCCGCGCGCGCCGCGCGCCTTTTGATGTGCTCAACATTACATGGAAAGGCGCGCCGCGCGCGGAGCGAGCAGGCCGCCGTCCCCTCTGAACCAAAGTGAACGTGCATGTTCGCACGAAGTGATGCCCTTCGGACAAGTGGGAGACGCCCCTTTGCCATGGCTTGTTGCAATAATGTAGCTTCGACTGCCGCGTCCTGGGTTCGCATTTCTCTTGCTCTGGTCCGATGCTTGCAGCTCAGTGCAAGGCTGCCACGCAAGAGCTGTTGCTGCTCGCAAAGACCCAATTGTCCGTGGTAATCCACGCAGCGGCAATAGCAGCATTGTCGGCCTGCCTGTGTCGCCCACGAGCTCCTGCCTGCAAACTGCTTGGGCAAGCAGTTCGCTGACAGTCGTTCACAAATATTTGTTCACATCTTGGTTTTAAGTTCCCCGGCTCTCCTTGTTTCTTGTTGAGGGGGGGGCATTACCACACCACCAATTGGCTTTCAGGCAGAAGTTAGCTTAGGGTTTACTTGGGGAATGAGCAAGGCGAGTTTTGCATGAGGCCCGTGCGGGGCACACGTTTCGATCCTTGTGCCAGGGGCGTGGGTTTCATTTCGGTCCTTGTGCTAGGGGCGTGGGTTTCAAACCACAGTTCAAGGTGAAATGGCAAAAAACTGGCCCAAAACTGGGAGGGATCTTTCACTTCCTGTCTCATCAGTCCTATGACGTCCAAAGTGAGGACAAGTGGCAAGCCGGAGATCGGTGGGTCTCTCCGCGTCACGGCTGGACTCACGGCGTTTCAATAACTGCTGAGCGCGGACAGGTTGGGTCAATCAATGCTACACCTTTGCAATTTTCAATGTCCTACCAATATCCAAGGATATTGATTTAGCAAGCCGAACTGCAAGCCTTCGCAAGTTACTTCTGCGTGTTTGTCTCTGCTCAAAAAGTTGCAACATGAGGGCCCCTCAACTGACTCCTGCATGTCATGTGAGTCAGCTCTCTCAGGGGATTGTTGCAATACACGGATCTTGGAGTGCAAGTCAACAAAGAACACACGACGTCTGGCTGAAAGCGGGAAGCGCCAGTGGCACCTCGTTTCGCCCTTTGAATCGCCCACCATGCAACACCAAGGGTGTAAATATACCTGGACCTTCCGGGGGTCAAGCATTTTAGGCGTTGGCAAAAAACAACGTTTTTTTGTCGTTGGCGCGAAAAATGTTTTAGGGCGACAAAACGCAGGCCCGCGGTCGGAAATGTTTGCCTGCTGGCCGGGAATGAGATTGCGCTTAACACCCAAATTGAGCAAAAGAAGACCATAGGCAAAAGCCACGCGCAAAGCGAAAAGGCGGACGTTTTGAGCATGCAGGAAGATCTCTGGGAGCCGTCAGACATGTCGGCCATGTTTTTAGCCCCGCTTCTCACTAAGTGGCCACTTCCCTGCATTCCAAAGGCTTTCGCCTCAACACCCAACAAAGCCGATTTAAGGAAGAAGCTAAGCCAGAAATCAAGGCGTGTGCTGACTGGGAAGTGTTAGGGAGTCAGTCTGGGCCCACGGGGCAAAGGGGAGAGACCTTTGAATGAGATCAACAGACTTTTGTCCCTTAGTCGCATGCCGCACACACAGAGACACAGATTGATAAATGATTTTGATTCGGATTACGTAGTGTATTTGGGGATCGGTCAGGGGGTTAATCCCCCACACACCCAGTGTAAGAAGCTTACTAGAGGCTTAGCGGCCTCGTCTTCTGCAATCATGGAGCGCAGCCAGACCCCGTGGAATCCACGGTTGAGCAGCCAATTTGGTTGCAGTGCAACACGGCAGTTTTCTCTTCAAGCAAGCAAGTATCCGCCCCACCAACCTCCAAGCCACCAATTCGACGGGAAGCTTGGTGTACCGGCTGGACCCATCCATAAGACTCTGATGAGGGTTTTTGTACTACACCCTGGAATTACACCCGCTGGGTATTGACCCCATTTAGGCACATTTCCGGATAAAGCAGTGTTATTTTGAACCATTCTGGGCCTGGGTCATTTCTGAAGGGTGTAATCCCAGGGTGTAGTACAAAAACCCTTAGAAAGAGGCGCCTTGTTGCAGGCTCTGCGCGGGAAGCGCCGCTGCTCGCCACGGCAGCCGCGCCTTGCGAGGAAACGCCCGGGCCGTCCTTCCAAACCGTGCGAGGCAATTCGGCAGCCTGAGCCGTCAGGAATTCTCTTCCCGAACGGGCCGCGGGAATTCGACGCAACGTCGCAGTCCGGGAAAACCATGGAGAGATATCCCTTGGGCTTTTGGCCTTTTTGCTCTCAAAGGGGCCGGAAGGGCGCAGAAGTGTGGGTATGTGTATGACCAGGATACGGTACTCTGTCAGGAATCGCCGAGCTTGTACCTTGCTTTGCATGCAGCAAGAAGGGAACCTTAACCTTTTGGTTTGTATTTGTGTATGTCAGTGGTTTTGTGTCTTGCACTGTATCAAGTCATGTATGCTGTACGTTTCCTGTCTCGGCTGTGTTGGAGTAGCTCGTGCAGGCATTTTAAACTCACTCAGGGCACTGGTCACGTTGAATTTATACCCATTGATTGAATCTGCGGGACGCGAGATGTCCCTGCAACAGCATAGGTGTTTGGACGATTCAATTTGAAGCCCTGTTTTGCGTTGAACGCTTTGTTTGAATGCTTTGTCGCCTGATATGCCCGAGTGCGAAAAGATTGGTTCATGTACAGGACGCGAGTTGTTGGAGTAGCAGTGGGGTGATTGTGTCTGTGTGTGCATGGCTCAAAAATGATAATAACCACTCTGTCAACTGGCAACAGGCCTTCAATCTAACGCAGAATGAAGCGTCTTGTTTGAACTACAAAGTGTCGTTGATAGATAGTGAGCTTAACCTGGGGATCGCAAGTGTGTGATCCTCAATGCAAGCTGGCCAATGGACGCCCACAGCGTCTGTGCCCCATGCGGTATATACACACTTGCACTTACAATTGATTCGACACGTGCAAAGAACAAGCATTGTACCATACCCAGTTGCACAGGGGATTCCGCCCTTTTTTCCTTTTTGTTTGGAAGGGTTCCCTTAAAACTCAACCAGAAGCGGATGCCGATTCTTTTTTCCCCATGAGAATCCTGAGATACAACCTTGGCCATTTTTGGTACACCCCCCCTTTCCTCAGCGCCAAGAGTCATTTTCACGAACCTTGGGCTCTGGGAGGGGCTTGAACCACCCGTTAAGCGTAGAAGGCGAAGGGCTTTGATCTGCTTGTTGGTTTGTCTCTTTGGCCAAGGAATTTCTCAGTTCCAGGACTCTAAATTAGGCAACTACACGTCAAGCGGGTCCAATGCCAGATTGCACGCTCACCAGGGGCAAACCCATGCTGTGTCCAGCACCAAAATCAATTTCAAATATGAGTAAGGCTGGACCTTTGCATCGTTCCACAAACAAAAAATAGAGTCGGTAGCCATGCAAGCTTCTTAATTTACAACTTGCTTTAGTCATTGCAGTATCGTCCCTTCAACCAGGCTATAGGTTGGTTTCCACTGGCGTTTTGTGCATATCCTTCGATGGCGATTTCACTGTTGATACCTATGCGATTATCACGTTCCTTTGCCTGCGAATCTTCCTGCCCTTCACGATCGGCTCTGTGGGAGATGAAACCGCCCACCATGAGAAGGCTCAGAAGCATCGCTTGACGCGATTTCCCAGCCAGCCTCGCGCTGAGTGTGAGGCTGGCAATGGAGTTACACAGTTACACATTGCGGTGCTGCCACCTGCCTTTGTTTTTCGTGCACAATGGGAAATTATCAATGTTTCAGTTCATTTGGTGATTCTGGCGCGTCTTGGAGCCCCTTTCAGATCGTGTTGGGGCATTGCAAGTGACGGGTCGGCCAGTGGCGAGCTCCCGCAAGTTTTGTGGTTGCTTCGCTTGTTTGTATCTAAAGCACGCATCCGAATACGTTGAACTGAGATGGGATTTTGCTATGGGCAGGCCAGAGTTTGGCAAACTGTGCTGCTGTGAGGGCGCGCAGAGTTGCCGAAGTAGTTGCGGATTATGTTGCTTTGAGTTTGAAAGCGACGCTGTGGCTCGAGATTGCCCAGTGAACAAAAAGCACATGCAGCCAGCTTCCGGTGGGGAATTGGATAATGAAATGCTTCCTAGTCTTAGATTCTGAGCTTGAAACTAGTTGTCTATCAATTAGCTACTTGGAGTGACTGAGGGGTTCACGCGGTACGTATGTTGCTGCTTGATTGGCTGTTTGGGATTGGGCTGTTTGGATCCTAGTCAGCCCTGCCCGACTTTCGGTCTCCAGCTAGTTGAGCTTATCACTTCGAAATTTTCATTTTTCCCTATGCCCATGATGTGGTGATGACTTCAGAGCCATAAGGCGGGCATGAGTCGAATCCCAGGTGAGGAGTGCGACGTGGATCTCTTCCTGGTGATGCCTCGGGTGATTTGGCTCCAGGGCTTGTTCAAGCCGACGAACCAAGTCCAGGCCAAGACTCGGCAATGAAGGGGGGGGAAGGGGCCGTTCCCTTGGATCATGACAGTAGTCCATTACTTTTACTGCATCTCAACCGGGAATGTATGGTCCCTGGGCTTAGTTTTTTGCGCAAAACCTGCTAATTCACGAATCCATCACTCGAATCAGGATGCAGGAAACATCTCTCGCATGCTGGACCCAGGCTACTGACTTGGAGCATGCGCTTTGTGTGGCCCCACCCCCCAAAATACCATGCTTTTGTGGGCCTGTCGAGCGGTGCTGGATTCCCGGGTGCCACGAGTAAAGCAATTGGACGGTCTGACTCCAGCAAGTGACGCTGTTTATACTTCACCACGCTTTGAATTCTTGTCGTTTTGCCCTCCCTCTAACATGACGCCTGACTCAGGGCTGGAACGCACATTTGAACTTGGGAATGAACTTGGAGATGAGGGAATGAGGGAATGAACTTGGGGATTCCCTGAAAGAAAACCATAGGGGATGCTTGGAATCGGGGTCATTATGTTTCTCATTCCCTGCCGATTTCGCACCCAGTTAAGTGTCCCGAACTGGCGCAATCCCGACTGTTTCAAGCCGTGGTCGTTGCGGGCCTACTGCCGCGACAGTGCCCTTGGCAAAAAACCTACAAATGCATCATTCCCTACCCAGAGGCTCCTGGGTCCTGGGGCTTTCAATAGATCCAGACCCTCCGTTGGACAGCCCGGAGGTGTTTGGGGGTGTCAAAACCTGGATGTTTGAGGGCCCTAAAGAAATCGGGAGCCTCTGGGTACTGAGCACCAGCAAGTCAAAATTTGGTGCAGGTCTTCAAGAGCCTCCTGCCGCATCGCTTCCTGGATCCACCCTTGGTGGGCGAGTCTTGGAATACCGATGCGGAGCTCGCCTCCTTCGCCGCTTGGGCCATGAGTGGAGGGCGGCGATGGGCGGAATCTGGCTTCTAGGATTAGCCCTTGGTGTTGTTGTTTTTGTGTTGCACTTATCGAACTGTTGTATGACTTATGAATGTTTTGTCTCAAGTAACTTGTTCTTGCGTGACCACAGGCAAGTTTATGGGTACCTCTTTGGAAAGACCTGTTGTGCTGCCTGGCTCGGGTCTTTCGGCCCTTGCATCCCCAACCCCTCCAGGTGCTCCCATGTGGTTTGTTTGGGGTAGGTACGAAGAAAGTCAGGTCAGCACTGCGCGGGGGTGTAACTAGTGTAACTAATTTCAACCAACAGGATGTCAACTGGGACTGCACCCTGGAATCACCCCCCCCAAAAAAAACAACAACACAAAAATCGCCACCTAAACAATGACCAAGTACTGGGATTGGGGGGGGGCCTACAGCCCTTGACAGCCGTAGTTTTGTTTTTTTCCTGCCGGGTGATCCAGGTAGAGCTCTTCCGCACGGTTAACATTGCGCTCATGAGCAACTGGCGGGCGGTGCCCCGGGTCTCCGAGCGGTCTTCCTGGGCGCGAGGGCCCAGACGCGGAGAGGGGGGGAGGGGGTACGGCGGAGTCGGGGGGCGAGACGGGGGACCCTGAAAAAAACGGAGCTACCTCAACAAAAAGTGGGCCGGGGAGGTTCCTTTCTACTGGAAACTATACTTGGGTCTGTTTCGATTTTGGAGGACCAACCGCAAGTTCTCTTTTTCACAGTCCATTTGACAATGACGAAGCCGCTTGCAAGGCTGCATGTGCAATGCCATGACCCTGAATCGTGGGAACCATGTTGCGGCTGGATGTACGTGTCTCTCGGTTGATGCTTGGGTTTTGGTACATCCACGTCTTGTTGCACAGTGTTGGTTTCGGTCGTCCTTCGCTGGCGTTGTCTTTACCAAAGTGCACTCCCAACTTCAGCCCAGCCCAGGAGATCTTGATCAAGCGTGCCACTTGGAGCATTGGTGCAGGCTTGCGTTTTGTTGGCCGACAGCAAGGGGAGTTTTCGCCTGGAGACGGCATGCCCGCAAAGAATGGACTGGTCTTGAAAATCGGATGGAACCGCGTGCACTTTTTGCCCTTCTGGTGGCAAGTGCAAGTTCGGAAGCAAGCACGGCCATTACCCGGCCATCCCGGCCATGCTTATGGCCGTCATATAGAGAAAGACTATTCAGCCCAGGTGGTGAACGGTGACGCTGAATCAGAGAAGGAGGACAGCTGAACAGACGGTTCAGGTGTGAAGCGGCCAACCTGGCTAGGGAGAGAACCAATCCAATCTCCCGAACTCATTGTTGTAGATTCTAGATTTTGTTAGAGAAGTGATGGAGCCCATCACTTCTTGCGATGTTGACTCGCCCTCGCTTGCACGGTGCGTTGGAAGGCTAGGTCAATGTGGGTGTATGTGTTACTTCTGTTGTGGCAGGGGGGTGCAGAGCAGCTTGTTTCTTTTCATGTCAGATCAAGTGAGCAGCTTCCAGCCATGTTCCACATGATATGCTCGCAACTGGCAGGACATTTATGGTGCATTGTCGCCTGGCCTGCGTGAACAAGCAGAAGGCTCTGTAGAGGAGCTGATCGCCCGTGCTCAGTTACCCAGGTCAATAATGAGGATGTCTGGCTTTTCATGAAGGGATTGTTTGATCACGGACGTCCACCGATGCCCTGCAACACTTCATGAAACCAACACTTTTGGCACGTACAAACAAGTCATCAGAAGTGTGTGCGTGTGTGTGTGTGTGTGTGTCTCTGTGTGTATGTGTTCGTCTCCCAGCAAAGGGAAGCAGCATTCTGCAGATTGCACTTTGCCGGTCGAATCGTCAGGAGCTGGTGAACAAGATGGAAGGTTGGAGTGACTTTGGCATGACAGCAGAAGAAATGCTTCACTTGCATATGGCAAGATGCGTTAAGTCGAAGATGACTCGCAAGCATCCTGATCCAGGTCCCAACTCCTTTCTGCCCATATTTCACCAGCAAGAGCGAGCAAGTGCACCGTTGCACTGAGGTTAGGAGGGTCTTGGTCTTTGGTGAGGCCCTCCAGAAAAGGCCATGTTCAGCATTTTGCCTGTTGGACTGAGTGTGGGTGAGTTTGGTGTTCAACGGGGGCCGCTTGTGGTTGCTTCACACAGGCTCCCGAACACTGGCTCCCCCCAAAACAAACCCGAAACCAACCCTCAACCCAGCCTGAACCAAAGCAAACCTGACAACCGCCCTAAATGAACCCACCCAAAACCCTACCAAACCAGCCATAAAGTAAATTTAAGCCCGCCACTAAAACAAACCCTAACATACCCTAAACCCACCGTAAACCTACCCTAAACCAACCGAAACCCACCCCTCAACCAGCCCTAAAACAACTATAAACCCACTCTAAGCTTTTTGCCGCCAATCCTACGTGAATTCTCAACCACCCCAAACCAACTAAAAAAAGCACGCACACCGAACCCACCCCTCAACCAGCGGCCTGCATCGGGCCAGTGATGGGTACGTTCGAGGTATGGAACTTCAGAGGCACTGCGCTGAAGATTGGAACCAGTTCGCGAGCATCCTGATTCAATGCTTGCGCGCTCCTCAGGTGGGCGGCCTTTGGCCGACTGGCAGGAAAACCGGACAAAAAGGAGGCCAATGCCTGGGGGATTGCTTTGGGTTCAAGAACATTCATGGATGCCCTGATGCGGGTGGACATGGTCCAAGAACGGCTTGCTTTGCCAAGGTCGGGCGAGAGCAAGAAAGATGCGTCACAGCAGCAGTTCCAAGTGGCTTGGCACGGTGCTGATTGTGCTACATTGTTGTATGATGATTTGGCATGCTGTTTCTGTTTTGCAAGGTCCACTGTTGTTGCTTCTCGTGCTAATGAGCTTTTTGCAGCAGGCTGCAGGCTCCACAGGGTTGCTTGATAGGTCACTCAGGGTAAGATCATGTAGGATGTCGACACTGTCGCTGATGAACACAATGCACGCTTTGCAAAGTTGGACTGCTAGCAAAGTTTTGCATAGTTTCTCAGGCTGCGCTGTGGCTCTTGGATTCTGCTAGAACGTTTTGTTTATTGAGCCAGTTGTTCGGATTTTGGGCATTTTGGGCATGTTTGACAACGCCTGATGTCGGTGTTCTTTGCTCAGCTGCTCTACTCCACGTTTGTTTAAGCAACAACACATGTTGCCGTTTGGGCGCTCTCGCCTGTTGTCGGCTGGAAAGTTTCCCCGCGCCCAGTCACACGGGTGCGTGTTGAGGTGCGTTGCATCTGCTGGGGTGCTTCGCGTTTTGGATTGACATCTTGCGGCAGAAATCGCCCAGCACTGTAGCCAATACAACGTGCTGCAACTTTGAGCGCGTGGCTGCTTTGTGGGGCCCCTTGTCTCATTTGCCAAAAGCCGCTCATGACTTGGAATCCTGAAACAGCGGGTTTTAATACAGGGAGACAGGCAAGGCAGCAAGCCACTCCCTGGCCATGTTTGCTTCAATTGGGTTGATGTGCGCGTGACAATTGCGGGGAGTCGTCGCTTCATTTTTGCTTCTGCAGGTCTGAGCGGCGTGTCAGGCCGTGAGGGCCAGGTGCGGTGGGACTGCATACCTGCTAGGCCCACGCTTTGGAGATGCATCCCTATCAAAGCTTGAACAAAATAAGCATGCCGGCGCTGTGGTTGCTTCCTTGTTGCTTCCTTGTTTGTGTTCTTGCTGGATGTGCCTGAAAAGGACATGTCAAGTGCATCTCGCCATTTCCAATAGGAAGACTTTGGCCCAAAGCCGCATGTAGGTACTCTTCTTGACTACCGAGTGAAACTGGACGTGTTGGTGGCATCGAGTCATAGAGTGCCCACCTGTTTGGATCGAAATGCTGGGGAAGCAGTCATCCTTTCTTTTCAATAAACACCAGGGACGTTGATTAGGTGCTTGGAACTCTGAACCCGCCTAAACACAACAGCCCAACAATCTTAAGACGGCATACTCAGCTGCCTCAAAGGCATGTCCAAGGTTCATCCTGAGCTTGTATGAGCTTGTTCCAGGATGAGCCGCGCATAGACGTCAAGTCTTTTGGGCGAGGTGGAACGCCAAGACACAGAACACACACACACACACCCAAGAACAAACACCTCCCGAGTCAAAAGGTTGCCCTCAATCGACCAGACCTGACCACTTGTGAGGTTGGACACGTCAAGCTTATGCAACCCTGGGCTGTGGGGCGATGGGGAGAGCACTTGGGAAGCGATTGGTCACTTTGGGGCTGTTGGAAGGAAAACCCCAAGGGACTTATCCAGTTTGGGGCGTTCCCAATTTGGAACTAATTCCGTAATGCATGTCATTGATATGCATAGAAGGGGTGTTCAATTCAGAGCACGCCTGTTGACTGCATTTGGCCAGCAGGCCGTGTGGTGTTGCGTAGAAATCTGGCTCCTTTTAAAGGGGAGCCGTCCTTCAGGGTCCCAGACCGTAGTTTGACGCGACAAAACCAAAACAGGGAAAAACAATGACATTCATGTTGTCGACTGTTCAAGCCGGCAAATTGTCACTTGTACTGAAGAGGAGCAATTTCGAGCTGGAACGTGTACTTCGTGTACTGCTCTCGTACTGACAAGTTGTACTTTTTGAGCTGGAGCACACTAATGTTGAATACTTGCCATTTGCGAGCTGGATCTACCAACGCGCACTTTGCGTACTACACTTGTACAAAGGGGTTGTAATTTTAGAGCTGGAACTGCCCGGGGGGGGGGCAGCTGCTAGTGCGTACTGAAAACACGCAACTTGGGAGCTTGAGTAGTCAAAGTGTACTACGGATTTGCGCCGAAGGCCGTCTCCACGAGCACTGCAAAATGAGGGGACGAAACGGAATGCTAGCTTGGATAGCACTGGTATCAAGTCTGCAAATGGCGGGTGGGCCCTAAAAAATCCGTGGTGCCCCCCCTCCAAGACAAACCCCCACTCGGGCACCTAGACCAAACAGACCCGACGCAGATCCATGCTCGCCAGGCCCCTCCTTCCAGCGCCGCCACCGATTTTCACCGGCGAAGGCCCAGAGCCCAACGCCAAAGTCCCCCACAAGGCCCAAGCAAAGCGCATAGAGGGCACCTTCTAAGAAGGCTTGTGGGGCTTCGTCGAAGCCAAGCCGGGCTCAGATCGGATATTTCTCAGGTGGGCCCACAGCCTTGACGCATGAGGGTTTGCGGCAGAAAGGCTGCGGCCCACCTGACATTCTTTGCCTTGAAGGCATATGTCCGTGTCGCTCGTTTGCAGGCCTTGCACCCACCCTGGGTTGGGAATCTGCTGCGCCGGCACAAGTTGTTTCACCTAGGGACCTAGAGTATTTGTTTAGCCTGGGCCATCAACTGGTCGAGATCTGTCAGACTGGCGCTGTGTCAGTTCGTGGCACTGCACAACGAACCAGTTCTCCAAGCTCGCAGTTGCACGCACTGCCCTTGGAAGCCCCGCAGATTTGCCACTGGGCACGGTGGGTGCCGGTGCTGCCTCCACAGGTCATATCTTCGAAGCCATGGGGAGTCAATGTTCTGCATTGCTATTGAATCTGCCCTGGCAAGCATTTCGTTTTGTGGCAAATCTCTATTCCAGAACTGCAACACTAGAGTGAAGCAAGCTTGGAGCTAGGGCAGTAGGGAGAACCGGAGTGGATGCCTGTCTTGACCCATTGCCATGACACACAGCTGATTGCGTAGGGCTCAGGGAACAGCGACATTTTTGGCAACACCTAGAAGGCAATCATACATCTTCTATCTAGATGTAGCCTCCAAGTGGCAAACAGTGTCAAAAACAAGAAACTTTAGCTTTTTTGAAACTAAAGGTGTTTTCCACGAAACCCCCAACAAGTTAAACTGTTTGCAGGGGGGTCAACAGCAACCAAGATATTGACCCCGAGTTGGCAATGGCGCTTGGAGAATGGCCCTTGGAGCAAAGCGGCACCCGTGCCAATGTTGCAGACCCGCGATTGGTTTGCAAGTTGACCGCACAAGGAGGCCCATGTTGCAGATCGTCACAGCGGGACTTGAGGACCATCAACGCAATGTGTTAAACGCGTGCCAGCTGTTTGTTTCCGTGCTCAAGTTCAAGGCGAACTCGGCAACCTTGAATGGACCAGACGACTTGATATGAACAACTGACAACACAACTCGCAGCTTGTGATTCGTTTGCAATGGCTACCCAGCCCCCTGTTTTCACAAGATTGTGGGGCGGGAACTAGAAGAATGAGCCTATTCTATTGCTCGTATTTGGATATGATACAGTATTCTTCATTGCTCGCATGAGGGCGCTAGGATTGCACTGTGAAGGCCAGTGCGTTTATTGCATTTCTATCATGTGTTGTTTTTCTCTAGGTTTAGTTGGATATTTTTCCTCCAACTGTCATGCATACACTTTTTTGAATGAAACCATTGCACACAGCGCTCCATGGCAAAGTGGCTTCTGCATCGCATCATTGGTAGTCGCCTCGGCTTTGGCGCTCAACAGAATGTTTTGATTTCCAGATTGAGGGCAATCCATACGATTCGGGTCAGAAGGGGATTTGTTTTCTGTAACTTACCACTTGGGAGACTTGATATGGCTGTGGCTCAAATAACCGGTGCCAAAACGGAACCCCGGGAAGTGGAAACATGGATTCCAGGATCAAAACCTGCGTAACCCCGCCTGTTTAATGTTGAGCCACACCCATTTTGGTAATGTTGATGTCGATTTCGACTTAGGGGACGTCCAATTTCCATTGCACCACCAAGCGAAGTCTCCGGCCCTCGTCCTGCAGTGGGCCCCGGCCAAAGGCCGCGGCCTTCCTCAAGTCAAGCAGCAGATGAAGCTCGTGCCACCGCAAAAAAGTGCTTCTTCGTTGCCCAGTGGTGCCTTGTTTCCCTGTTTTTCGTTGCAAAGGGTTCCCCTTTAAAGTCACCCAACCCAAAAAAGATGCCATGGAAACCCACTGGGCATCTGAGTGTTTGTGAAAGTCCAGTTATGTCATATTCGTCTTACCGGCCAGAAGTCTGCTGCTTTGACTGGCTGCCATCTTCAAGTGAAGATTTGCTGCGCCACTATGGTGGGCTACCTTGCTCAGTTGCTCAGGGAAGCCTAGAAAGTTCGGGACTCGCCGCAAAAAAACAATGCCGCGGCTGAGCCAGCAGCCTCTTCAAAGGTTGTTGATTGGTTTGTCCCCTGAAGAAATGGATGGAATTTAGCCAGCATGATCCTATGTAGGTGGTTGCTGGGCCGGACGGGCGGCCCGCATGACCTAGCACAAAGTAAACTTTTGCAGGTAATGTTGGTCAACCCCGGCAGACATCCTTGCACATGGTGTTGACCTTTGGGGTTTGACAACGCATGGCACACGTGGGAAACAAAAGGCCAAGATGTCGGCTTTCGAGTGAGATAGTCGGACTGGGGTTGCAAACAGGGCATCATGTTCGACAACCTCAGTGCTCATCCCTGAAGAGAAACCACCCCAGCTCTTCAAAGGCACTGCTGTGTGGGGAAACTATGAATGACTGGAGATTGATTAGGGTCAACATTGTTGTGCTGGGAGGAGAGCCGTCGCTGAGATTGGTTGTTTCTTGTTCCGCTTTTGAAAACGCAACGCCTGCAGAAGGGAGGCCAAACACCCACTTACCTCGGCCAACCAACGCACACGGTGCCAGATCAACAAAACTATCGGTATCACATGATGGTTAATCAAAAAAGCTTGGTTCAGCCCCAACAGTTGAAGACCAAGCAACCAGCCCAAGCATCCGAGCAAGCAATATCCGACGGCTTGCTGAGGTCATGTCACACAGCAGGCGGGGAGTTTAGTTGAAATTGTCCGGCATTGAGTGCAACATTTTCGGAGTGGCCAAGGGCCTCGTCAATTTTGCAAAGATGATGCTTATGATGTCATCGCAGCTACCTTTTTGCAGATGTCAGCTGTAGTAATAACCTGATTTTGGGCACATGCGGGTGGCGTGAAACTCTCACAGGTTTGCGGCAAGATTGCTGCTTGTCAGTTCTTGGGACCACAATCCAGCTTGGCAGGGCTGAAGAGTAGTACAAGAGCAAGTTGCACGTTTCAGCCCAATGAGGTGTTCAGCATTCTTGCGTTGTTCTCCCACAGGAAATCGCAAGGGACCTTCCCCCCCATCCAACTGCCAAATGAGCACCGGCCGAGGGAGAATGGATGAACGTAGCCCCCGAAATCAAAGAGGAGCAGGCTTGCCAACCAAAGCTGGTTCTCAATCAATTGGCCCCCGGAAGCGCTAAGAACCCGATCTTCAGCACTCCCAGAGGGGCCTCTCGCTTGCCAAAAGCACCGGTCTCTGAGCCTCTGGACCTCCTGGCCGTTTGGTGGACTGCGAGCGCTTGTTGCAGGCGAAGGGGGGCCGGGTCCCGGCCGGGGGCAGTGCATCGTTCCATGTTTGGGTCACCTTCAAAAGGGCCTACATCTAAACGGTGCCAGCGGGTGGGCCAAAAGCCGATTCTCGATTGTAGATGTGTGTTTGACTTGTTTGCCTGGGTTGCTCAAGCATCAAAGTCAATGCGCAGGAGTATGTTGATATCATCCATGAATACCAAAATGAGGGGCCAAGGTTTGAAGCCCAATGACCCAACTGTTGTCCCATCAGGTTTTCAAGTATCCAATCCAAGCACAGATCATGTTGACATACAGGGAGCTCTTGGCTTTCCACTCCCACCGTGCTTTTCACCCGCGCAGCACACAAGTGTGCTCCAACGAGGTCAGTGTAGCTGCTGAAAGATACCTGGTTGAGCCATTTGTGTTAGCAATGGTAGGGTACTACTGTGAACTCATGCCCAGTAAATACACTGCAGATTCGCTGGACATCAGGATTTGTCACTGCTGATGTTCCTTTCGCACCTCTTGTTTCATACATTTCGCATTTTCGGGTACCACCCAGATATGTCTTCCCCCCACTTTGTAGGCGCTACCCCGAGAAGAAAAAAAACCAAAAACAAAAAACCAGGGGAAGGCCGCCTCATACGCAAGTACGAGGGCCCAGAAGGGGCGGCTGGGTGCCTGAATTGTTTCCCGCGATTTGTGGGCAGGCGCAGGACGCAGAGATTGAGAGGCTGAGGCGGGCCCGAGTGCCCCGAGTGACGGCCTCACGGCCCGGAGAAAGGGAAGCGCGACGGAGAAAGTGGGGTCTATGGATAGCACGCCATCGGTACACTTCCCTAGGTCCCCCAGTGCCCTTTCTCACCGTGTCTTTTTTTAGGGGAAGGTTCCCCCTACTATGACTACAGAAAAAGGCGCTTCTGGAGGACCTAGGCACGATTAGCATGGAACCCCTGCCATTTTGGGAGTGCTTGGCGAGGACTCAGCTGGAGCAGATGTCCGTGCGGGTGGGGCACATGGCGGCCGGGTGGGGTTTGGGGTTTTGGGGTTGGGGGGTGCACCTTTGTGCTTTTTTTCGAGGCTACCTTTTGCCCGTGCAAGGCAAGCAGACAGATCTTGTTGCCCCCCCCTCTTTTGACACATGGACGGAATACCCTCCCAAACATGGAAGTCCGCCGGGGCCTGGGAGGTTGTCGGTTGTGGGGCTGCTGTTGCTTTTTGGGCTCCAGCTTTGTTTGCAGGGAGTAATTCGATTCATCGGTGCGCACATGTCATTCGCACCCCCTTCTTTTTCCCCAAGTCAACGGAGAGGCTGGGGAGAGTGTGAATTGCGAATTGCGATGCGCAGTGGCCTTGCATGGCTGCTGGCTTGATCCTCGCCATCAGTCTCCCGCGGTGGCACCTTTTGTCAGCGTCATGTCATTCCACCAGGGGGATTGTTGAAGTCGCTTCCTGGCAAGCCTGAAGTCTGCCAGTTGATTTTTTGCATTGCTTGGTCTCAGGTCTGCTTGGTCCCCCCCCAAAAAAAAAGAAAGAGGCCTGGTATGCGGCGCGTGTCATTTTTCGAGCTTCACAGCCTCAGGCCTCGCGGAAGCGCAGCCAGCAGCTGCCCCGGCGGATGTGATTGATCCCTCGGGCTTTGAGCCAGCCAAGCACAAGCAGCGTGAGGTTCACAACCACTCGGGCGGCAAAACCCTGCGATTTGACGCTGGTACTCAGGCGATCTTTTCTTTCTTTCTTGTTTTTTTAAAGCTGCGAGCAAAACCTGTGGGGTGCGCTCTTAGCATTGCGATGTTGCGTGACCATTTGGGGCTTCGTTGGTGGCCAGCAATTAGTTGGCTCACCGTTTTTTGGCTCTCATGCCTTCAGTTGCTTTCGGAACCAAGGGTCCGCCTTCTTCAGGTTGGCCCTTGGTTTCCTCCGATGTCCATTCTCCCTTTGGCACAGAAAACAGCATGGGTCACCTCAACACATATCATGACTGACGAAACGATCCGCCTCATCCATCCGTTCCCAAATTGCCTCAGTTGGGGGTGTTCTGTTTGTGCCATGCGGTGGAAAGCCTCCCCTAGACTGTTCGACAATAGGTGTCCTTTTGGGTCAGTTCAGTGGAAACCACTTGTTTGTCAGCGCCATCTATTTTCCAAAAGACCCCAGCTGCGATGAACTGGACAGCTACCAGCAGCTTTGGGCGTGCACCTGCTTTTGAAAAGCCCCTACCAACCCTCCTGGGCAGCTTGGGCAGCATGTTTTTTTTTGTTCAAAACAGGGAAACAAAGCGTCCAGCAAGGCAAACCCATGGCCCCTTTTCGCTGGGGCACGCCCAATTGCAGCTCCACCCCACTTAGATGATCCTAAGGTCTGTGTCCTCCCACAGGTTTCGGCATCACGAATCACAGCGTTTCATGGTTGTTGTTGGGAAACATTTTACATTGTTGCTTCTTGTGGTTTGGTGGGAAATTGTTCACTTGACTCCTAAGTTTTTTTTGTTGCTCCCCTTCCAACGTCAACCAAGGTTTGGGGGTGGAACTCGTGGACAGGCTAACAGTGGAAGTGCGCTTCCGCAGGTCGCAGGACCTCTTCACTGCCTCACGCCTGCGCTCGGTAGAGGCTGGGCTCAGGGGTCGAAGCCATGGCTCTCCAGGACGGTGCGGTGTAGAATATTGACAGGGCACTAAAATATTACTACAAAAGGACTAACCGTGTGGGAAATGACAGCTGAAATTCGCACAAGCGCATCCAAACCGCATTCTAGATAGGGGGGGTTCATGGCCTTATCAAAGGCTTGCCCTAGCACACGCACACACCCCACATAGAACCCCTTAAAAAACTTCTGACGTAACTACCCCAAAGGGCCCACAGGCGCGCAGGGAATGGATATCTTGACTTGCTAAGAGCCCTCGAAAAGTATCTAGGACTTTCAGGTGTCCTTCCAGTGGAAATGCAACACTTTTCCATGGATCCATCCGGGATGGTTCTCCTTTGCCTCTCGTGCCTTTTTGCCAAAATGGAGCCATGGCTCTGAAAGGCGCCGGACATTCGCAGCCGCTTAGCTTCCAGACACGGCCCCCCCCCGGCCGCTCATGGCCGTCGACGAGAACGCGCTGTTTGCTCAGGTGGGTTTTGGAGTCCAAGAGAAGCGTTGCTGTTTGGTTGCGCGTTTGCCGGCTGCTCATGACGTTCGGGTAGTGAAGCCGTTAAATGATGTTAAATGCACAGGGTCATTTCAGGTTTCGACGGCCATTTTGTGGAGGAGAGGGGCTCCCTGCCCTTGACCAGGGTTGACGCATTTGTTTCCAAAGGTGGGATGTCCTGCGTGAACACTACTCCTGGCTTATTCGCTGGGTTTGGCTGGTCCTCATGCACCATACGATGCGACGACGCACCACGAGCGAAGTATGGTACCGAACGTTGGCAAGTAGGGCACTGGCCTTTCCATGTTTGGATGCGCAGGAAGGACCTCTTGAAGAGCACGAGAGGAGGCCCTTTGGCAGTCCACTTAGGGTTGATTTGCTAGGCATTGCCAGTAGGGTGCTAGGCATTGCCAGTAGGGAGGCAAGCAACCCCCAATGTACCAAACTGTTTTCAACGGCTTCTCAGAATTCCATTTGCAACCTGCTGGTTTTCCTCCAAACCACCACGGGTGAATTTGGAGGATGTCACTTTTAATGCACCCCAGTTGCACTATTTGAGGACTTTTCAGCCCTGGTCCCACTGGTGCCGGCGAGGCTGGGGCATGCGCCGGGTTGTACACCCGTGCGGCTCCATGGATCCGGGGCCGGATGAACATGAGCGGCCCGGCCGTTTTGGTTTGGTTTGGGCACCGAAACTTGCCCAGGTGATATCCCCAACATTGCCGGAAACACCTGGAACTGGAACCCTCCCTGAAAACTGCCCCAAAACACCCTAGAGTTTGTCTTGGCACTTTTAGCTGTTGGGGAGAAACATGAGAAACCTTATTTTTGTTAGCTCTTTAATTTCAAAACTCCTTCTATGTTGAGGGTCCTGGGTGCTGGGGTTAGGATTGAAGCCCCAACCCCTCCCCTGGGTTTCCTCCAAGACGGTGCATCCTTGGAAATTAGGGGGAATAGTCAGTTGCGGGTCAGACCCAGCAAGTCAATTTTTGTTTGGCAGGTCCCCAGACATGGACAAACCCAAGCGGTGCAATGGCATGATTCCTTGCTGGGGATATTGTGCAAAGGGGTGACAGGTCTTCCTTGTGCCGCTTGATTTCGTGGCTTGTAGAGAACCCACACCTCGCCCGCACCCAGTGCTGAGATGTGCCAAGCTTTCCTCCCACAATCTGGTGTGAAGAAATGCTTGATTCATGGGACGGAGGTTGGTTTTTTCAAGTATGGTCATGAGTCGTCCTGTTGTTCCACGTTTAAGTCTGTTTTGTCGACTGAGCAGTCAGTCCTCGCCGCAGACCCAGGCTGTCCTTGCTGCAGAGCATGATGCAGGGCCCTCCGCCAGTGCATAGGTGCGGGCGGTTCGGCGGTTCGGCTTGCAGCCGGATGTGTTTGTTGAGTCCTCGGCAGCTTGTCCTACTTGCCCCCGAGACACGTGAATGAATCCGTAGGGAGCTACCCTCTCCGATTTGATGGGGGTTCACTATGACGCGCGGAGCAAGAGGCAAGGTGCGGAACACTTACGTGCCAAGCTGTACCAGCAATCAGCGGGGAAATGCCGCACACTGAGGCCGGAAGCAGAGTCAACAGGAACCATCCAAAGGCATTGGCAAAAGGGCGTCGTTGAACCCTCCACTGCTGGTACACATGCCAATGCAAGTACATGATAAGGTTTCTTGTTTGCAGCCAATTAAGGCCAGCAAGAGGCCGCACTCTAGCCGTCAATCATATTATCTCCAACCCTTTGCACAGCCTGGTGAAAGCACGGGGTTTTGCCTTCTGAACTCTGGGGCTTGATGCAGCAAATGCTTAGGTCACTGACATTCGGAAAAGCCTTCGGGAGCAATCCATTGACCTTGGCAGTGCAGGCATCATGGAACCCAAGAACTCGCTTTTGAGTTTTGAGGTGAACACCCCGTATGAATCTGCCGGATGTGTTAATTATTCTGGTGTCGACAATGCCTCATGCTGACAGCGGCCTTCAGCTGGAAATGCCTCCTCTGACTGCAACAAGTGCTGAATCGCTGATTCAGGTTGCCATTCGCTCGACAAAACCTTTACCACTGGCAGCCAGGTTCAGCTACTGGTCTCCACTCACTGTCACTCTACACCCTGTCATTTGCCCTTACCATCAGCACGCCGGTCGAGGTGCAAGAAATCCTTCTTTCACGCACAAACATGACCAACGGCAGCATTTGAGCTCCCGCGCTGCCCTTCACGAGCACGGCCCGCAATTCCGTCCCTAGAAATGCGGACAGCCTCAGAAAGCTCTGCCATCCGCTAGTACCTAAGCCACAATCAGGAGAATATTTGTCCGTGAATGTCAAGGCCATGACTGTGCTTTCCCCACTGGTTGCTAAGATCTCCTCCCTCATCAAGAAGCAGCTAAATCGCAGATGAAACCTTGATGAAAACCCTGGCTGTTCGGGGACTTGAGATTTTGCGAGGACGAAAGTCGTGAATTTTGTGTCTTGATGAAGGATGCAGTGCCAGGGAATGGTTTTGTCGGCCATACTGCATCCCCTTAAAGTGACGAAGTAGCTAGGAAACGTATTGTTCTTCACAACCGTGCTTCAATATGTATATTCTGATGCATATGTATGTGAGTATGATCATTTCTGTTGTTATTGAATCTGTTATGCAAAAGAAGTTTAGAAGGAACTTCCGTGCCATGGCAACTGTTGAAAGCTAGCTTTCTGACAGAAGGCAAGAGAAGAATAAGCACCCACGAGATGAATGCGCGAGCGTCTGGCGGAAGCTCCAGGCCCGAGGGTCTCGGGCTGTCCTGTTCCTGTTGGCGCAAAGTGTCTTGTCGACGCAGCGCGTGCACGAGTTAGGCCGGCGACTCCATTCAGCCAGCGAAACCTGGGCCTTGCTCGGACGAGAGCTTCATGCTCAAGTACTCATGGAGCAGAGGGCCGGGTTGGGGCACAACTTCGGCATCGTTGGCGAGCGCAGCGCATGAAAGCACAAAGCGAAACCTCTGCAGAGGGCTGGAGGGTATTCCTTGAGTCTGGCAGTGCAAAACTGTCCAAGTTCATTTTTCCCGATGCTGGAGGCAAAGGGTGGAAGTTGGGCAATTGGGACCTGGGTTCAGGAAGGTTGCCGGCATTGCGCTCTGACCACAAAATCTCTGCATGAGGTGTTGCTCAATGCCCTGGAGCTGCTTGAGCCACTTCATGAGGGGCACACGCCATATGCTCGGTGCGGCGCTGCCGTCAATGTCAGCAGGATGCTCAACAAGCACGAACGATCCACCGCTGATGTTGATGGCAGCTAGCGCAAGAACGCAGTTCAGCAGTAACTTGTTGCCGATTTCACTTTGGTGGAGCTCTCAGCAAGGTGCGGGAGGCACCAAGGCTGACGGCTGGAGCGCAATGGCCGTGGGCCACGAGTGCCAGGGGGTCTTTCCCTGGCACGTCTCGCAAGGAGGTTTATTTTGTAAGGCAAGAAGGTTACCTTGCTGCGCAAGGTGTATTAGCTTCTCAACAAGTGCAGTGCATCCTAAATCACAGAGCTGCTGGTGGTGCACCACATCAAGGCAAATGACAAAAATGTCAAAATGCGACTTTGCGTTTAGCGCTGAGATGTGTTGCCTAAGGCTACCTTCACGCTCTCTGCCACAAAAGAAATGCACAACAAAGAAGGTGGAGCACTGCAGGATGCCGGGCAAAGGCGAAGTCAGCTGCATGGAAGTGGCACGACAGATCATGCTCACGCATTGCATCAAGCTTGCTGACATGCCAATCGGGGTCAGCAGGGGTTTCCTGCGACTTAGCTGGCTGCGCTGCACCGGCCGTCGAGGCCGGTTGGCTCGAGAGGGTGAAAATCCGGTGCGTTGGACTCTTGGGTCCACTTAAGTGAAGGTAGGGGACTCGCTTGTGTCCCTTGAAGCGGCTACCTTGTGGAACAGGGGCAACAGCACTTGCTTCAAGGGGAATAAGGAACCACTGCAAAAAGTGAGACAGGCGGGTGCCTCTTGACGTGCATATGCAATCGATGAGTGGAGTGGTGCTCCTGCAAACAGACAGCACAGTGGGTGTCATAGCAGAACTGCCAAACATCGGAATGCACCTGGTGCTTCTTGACCATATGGAGTGCCAGAGGCTTCCGGGTCTCAAGTGCACATGAGGGGCATACTGCCGGAGTTGCTCAACATCACCTTGGGCAACTGACAACCATGACTTGCTAATGTGCTGGTGGAACAGAACAGGGGGCCCTGCGTGCCAGAGGTGTGGCAGGTGAGCAAGCCTCCTACGGCGAATTTGCCACTCGCAGGGGATTATGTCGGCAGCAGCAAGGGCATCTTCATGAGTGTGATGCCGAGTCTCATTGTTCAACATGCTGACAGCAGTTCTTACAGCTTTATGGTAGAAGGTACGTAACTTCTTGCTGGCCGAAATGGACAGGTCTGCCCAGGTGGCGCTTCCATAGAAGAGCCGCTGAAAAACAGAGGCCTGAAGCAGGACGATCTTGGCTCGC